ACAATTTTTTCAACTCAACTTTTTTGTCTCAGAATATAAACTATATATGAGACAAAGAGCCTATATATATATATATATATATATATATATATATATTCTTTGGCAGGAACAAGCTTTCATACATTTCTCATTTTAATTTTGTTTAACTTGATGTACTAAAATAACTGAAACTAAAGCTGAAATAAAAACTATATAGAAACAACAAAACTAAAACTAATGAAATTTACATAAACAAACAACAAAATTACCCAAAGTGTAAAAATAACTAAAGTTAAAATAACTAACATTAAATGATGAAGTCATTATAATAGTAAAATTATTCAAATGAAAATGGAAAATAAAAATGAATTAGAAAAATTGTACTATATATGTACTATGTATAATACTATAATACTATTTACTATAATAGCAAAAGTATCCCAGTAATACTAAAATAACATTGATCCCCACAAATAGTCACAACCCTATTCCAGTGCACCTTCTTGTAATCTTCAAGTAAACCAAAGACCTTGAGTAGTTGGTTCAGGTGTGTTTGGCTAGAGTTTGAACTAGTTAATGAGTATCCCTGGCCTAGATAATGCAAAGAATTTTTCCTCTTTGACTCGATACTTTCTCAAGACATTTGGAAAAAGGTGAAGGAATTTGTTTTCCTTTTCAGGTTTTTTCGGGGTACCGCTTTCTCCTTGCTGCTAGTGAAAGAAAGCTTCCAATAGCCATCGTGAATATAGGATCCACTAGAGCTGATCATCTTACTGGCATCAGGGTGAGTGTGCGCTGTGGAGAAGTGCTGCCGGCCATTCAGCTCTGAGAAATGAGAAACTCTGAGACTCTTTTCCTTGAAGCTATTCTAAACCTCAGCACTCGACTCATCACAGGATTACTAGAACATAGATTTGGTTTGGTTGTAGGCTGCTTGCATAATAACTGATAACTGATCAGTTAGTTATATAACCTATATTAACCCTAACCTAACCCTAATAACTGATCTCTACCTCAAGTTACAGAATTACTTTAACATATACACACATTAATTAGCTAGAGTTTGAAGTGCAATACAGAATACAGCATTGGCACTAAAGAGTTAAGTTTAAATACTTTAAAACTATAAAGTAGGTTCATAGGGACAACTGCATTTCCCATCTAGAATTCACTCTCTGAAAAGTTACAGAGCTTCTCAAGAATCAGCATGGGAAACAGTCATAATAATGCTGCAATTCTAAACGAGCTATATGGATTATGACTCTTTTATTTACTAATAAACGTTTGGTTAATGATAAATGACTATTTAAATATGTATTTTTGAATATGTGAATGTACTAGGATGGTTTTAAAATGCATTGGAACACATAAAAAATGTACATGTTAATCATTTATTTGTTCTGCCTGACAATACAAGTCAATTGTATTTAGTGCTTTTCACAATACACATTGTTTCAAAGCAGTTTTACAGAAAATCATGGTGTAAATGTTTCTAATATCTTAATATCGTCATGCCTTATAGTTGCATTGAGCAGTTTAGAACTAGCCAACAATATAGTTTACATTTTTCAACAATATAAACCATCAAGCAGTTGAGATCTGTTATATATATATATATCACTTTACATGAGTATAATGTATGTAACTAATGTAGATATAAAGGATTTTGTAAAGGACTTTGTTTTTGAATTTTTAGGATTTTTTTTTTTTGATAAAAGGGCAACCTTGGAGTCAAAAAGGTTGAGATTCATTGCCTGAATTTATTATATGCACACATTATTATGTTGCTTTGGTAAGAAATCTATGAAGAGCATAAATTATACTGAAAATAGGTGATGCATATCTGAGAAAACACAATAATAAACATACATCAGGTTTATTCAAAGGGTCACAGAGGGCAAAGTGACAGTATCTCTAGAAAAGCAGAGATCAGTCAGAACTGGCTGTTTGTTAAATCTCTCTCTCACGTGCTCTGTCCACCATTGCACATGACTTTGTACTTCTGACCAGAGCTCTTCAGGAACACTAAATGAGTAAAGACAACAGCGATGATTTATGTCATCTATCTGCCATTTGACCCAAACCGTGCTCACCACCAGTGGTGTCATACACAGACAGTTCCCAAATCCTTTAGTTTGGTCAAACCAGTATGAGGCTGGATAACCTAACAGGATTCCAAAAAGAGTGCACAAGTTCCAGTCATTATACAACTCCTCTCCCAACACAATCACTGAGGAGCCTTTCTCCAGCTCACTCATGAAGAATTCTGAAAGAGTTTTGATCATATCCTCGGTTGTCTTTTCAAAGCCAACCAAGACAGGTTGTTTTATTGAGGGACATGCGTCAATCAGAAGGAGACTTTTGCTTTGGAGAAGATCATCCAAGTGGGACTCAATAGTGGCAGGATTAAAAATGAATGTGTTTTCATCAATGGACAGAATCCGTAGGGGATTGATTACAACTCCAGACTCCTGTAGAGATTTGAGGTACATCTGAAGCTGCTCTGGAGATGCTGCATTACTGTCGTAAAGCAGCGCGGGTTTGACGCCCAGATCCACAGCCATTATTTGAACAGTCACATCAAGACATGTGGACGGAGATAAACGTTTCTTACGAGGACACAATAACTTCTGTGCGGCAGAGATGAGCATTTCTGATGAAGCAACCATTGCACCCGTTTACAAACACAAATATAAAATATTTGTTGACAGCAGGACACACAAATTGATTGTAAAAGTTGTTGAACACTTAATTGATGAAGGCTCACGTTCCAGCATTGGTCACATCGTATCGTAGTGGTGTTGTTAGACGTTTTTATCGACTCGGTATTTTAACGAAACGAATGAGTGATTCAGTGAATTGTTCATTTCACAAAAAAAGGTTCACATAGATTCACATTCGCACGGAGCAGAAAGGGCCACTGAAAGAATCGCGATTCGAAAGATTCGAGTCATTGGGGTGAATCAAAATTCCTGTAACTTCCTGTTAAAAGTTGTAACAAGTTAAAAGTGCTACAATGTACAGAAATGTAACAAATTTAATTGAACATATATTTTTGTTTCAGTGTAGAATGTTATGAACATTTTGAATAATTATGAAATGACACGAGCCGACCAGTTTCCTCCAAAAAGTTAGTTTAGAAACGCCACCGCGATATAAGGACTTTTAATTTGAAATGGTATCACGGAAGTATATTCTATTAGACAACTCGTTCAGTTGTTAAATACCAAATGGCAAATCCATTAGGAGACCGCTGCAGTACAGTGTCATAGTATAATATCTGTATAATGAAACGAAGGTAACGTTTATTTTCCACCGGCGAATCGCGGTGATTTTATTGATAGTGAGTTTAAATAGTCAGTTGAGTTAAAAAGTAAAGTTCACAATGGGCTCAGAGGATGTGCTCAAGAGTGCTTCAACACTAGCCTCTTACAGTGTTCTGCTTCAGGTACTGTCACACACACCAAATACACCTTTATTAGAAACATATAGTAAAACAGTATGTTGATATGTTTTATGCTGCAGGTGATGTTTCGAGTGTTGACGTTTCTCTTGAACGCATTTACTTTACGGTTTGTGTCTAAGGAGCTGATAGGTGTGGTAAATGTCAGGTGGGTTTAAAGTTACACATCATCTCGAACATTCGTTTCAATTGGCCACTAACTGCAACGTTTGCTTTTGTTATAGGTTGATGTTGCTCTATTCTACATTGGTGTTTTTGTCTAGGGAGGCGTTCCGAAGGGCGTGTCTAAGTGGCGAAGGGGCGGGGCGTAACTGGAGACAGGTTATCAACCTGTTATGGTTCACGTAAGTAGAAATGCCTGTAGGTTTATTAACCAACATTTTCTTACCTCTGGAACCAACACACTTAAAAAGGGGAAATGCACTAATGAACTCTTGAATGATTGCAATCAAAGATTGACAGGAAATAAGTAAATCTATCATATCTGAAATTTCAAGGAATAGTTCACCTCAAATTAAAATGTTTTTTATTTCTTCTCAAACGCTTAGATTTCCCGTGGGTTGTTTGTGGGGTGTGTTGTTGGTGTGTGTGTGGTGGTGGCTGCTCCAGGCACCTGATCCAGAGTCCATCCCGCATTATGTTCCTGCTGTTGGATTGTTCTGCTTGGCTGCGCTAACGGAGCTGCTGGCTGAACCTCTCTGGGTTCTTGCACATGCACACATGTTCGTCCGTTTGAAGGTGTCACAATCTGCCTTTCATACTTTATTTTACTCTTGATAGAATCATTGTAGATCCAATAAGGTGAAACTGTCTAACCAAATGACATATTCACAGGTGATTGCCGAAAGCTTAGCCATGATCGCTAAATGTCTTGTTACTGTAGTGATGGTGGTCTCAGCACCTCAATGGGGGCTCTATATCTTTTCTGCAGCCCAGGTATATATATATTTGCATGTTTACACACTGAACATATGCAACATATATATAGTTTTTGGTTGCCTTCTGGTTTCTAATCTTGATTCTGTGTGTTTTCATTTCACAGTGTGTCTATGCAGGGTTTTTGCTGCTTTGTTACGTGTTATACTTCGTTCGTTTCCTTGGCTCAGAGGAAGCAGAGAAGAAATTGTTCCCTGTTAGTCACATAAAAGACCTTCTGCCATCTGGAGTGGATCATGAGGTGACTTATTTTCTAATACGACACCACAATGCTCTGTTGTATACCCTTTTTATTTCAGTGAAACAACTACACTATATGTTGTTTTTTTTAGCCACTACTAAATTGGAAGTTGACCACACTAACCTGGAGCTTTTTCAAACAGTCATTTCTCAAACAGATACTTACAGAAGGTAAAAATCATGCTCTTTTTTTTCTGAATGTTGAAATCTTTCCAATAAATAAATTTACATGCTGGTAAAAAAATGTATAGCCTGAATGCACTGTAAGTCGCTTTGGATAAAAGCGTCTGCTAAATGCATAAATTATTCAATTATAATTATTAATTAAATATTTCATTTTGATTTTATAGGCGAGCGTTATGTGATGACATTTTTGAATGTGCTTAACTTTGGCGATCAGGGTGAGTTTGTACATTCATATACACAAACTATTATATACAAACAATATAGTCATATTATACTTATTTTCTATTTACAGGAGTTTATGATATAATAAACAATCTGGGCTCAATGGTAGCAAGATTTCTTTTTTTGCCCATTGAGGAGAGTTTCTATGTGTTCTTCGCTAAAGTCCTGGAGCGTGGACGAGATGTACGACATCAAAAACAAGTCAGTGTCTGTTTATGTGCCTAACTTTATCTAGTGCAGCCAGCCAGATGTGGGGTTGGATAACTGTAAAATGCTGATTGGTCCACAGGAGGAAGTTTCCATGGCAGCTGAAGTACTGGAGTGTCTTTTGAAGCTGGTGCTTTTGATTGGTCTGATCATCACAGTTTTTGGTTATGCATATTCTCATCTGGCACTTGACATCTACGGCGGGGAACTTCTGAGCAGCGGAGCCGGTAAAACACAAATACGCTTACTAACTTTTCAGTTCAGATGAGTACATTTTTATTTGTGTGTGTTTGCCGTAAAGATTTAAATGGTATGTTTATGTTTTTTGCAGGGCCAGCTCTCCTGCGGTGTTATAGTTGTTATGTTCTGCTGTTAGCCATTAATGGAGTAACAGAGTGTTTTGTTTTTGCTGCCATGAGCAAAGAGGAGGTTGACAGGTGAACAACATAATTGCTATACTGTATATATACACTACCATTCAAACATCTGGGGTCTGTAAGATTTTGTAGGATTTTGTAATGTTTTTGAAATAATTGTTTTATGTTCTCCAAGACTTAATTTATTTGTTCAAAAAT